TCCGCTTAGCGAATTTTGAAAAATTGAACATGGAAAGTAATAAAGTGTGGGCAAAGCTCTGCAAGGGAGCTTGTTAGAAATGCTAATTTGAGGCCAGGTGCGGTGGCTCATGCCTGTAATCCCAGCACTTTGGGAGGCTGAGATGGGCGGATCATGAGGTCAGGAGATGAGACCATCCTGGCCAACATGTTGAAACCCCATCTCTACTAAAAATATAAAAATTAACCGGGCGTGTGGGTGCGAGCCTATAGTCCCAGCCACTCGGGAGGCTGAGGCAGGAGAATCGCTTGAACCCTGGGAGGGTGGAGATTGCAGTGAGCCAAGATCGAGCCATTGCATTCCAGCCTGGTGACAGAGCGAGACTCCTTCTTAAAAAAAAAAAAAGAAAGAAATGCCTATTTGAAGGCTCTGATTTTGAATCCCGGCTGTTGTTCACCTGTTGGCTGGCTTTGCTAAGCGTCCCAGGTGTCTGGGGCAAGCAGGCTCTGAGGGACACATCAGATAATGAGGGAGGGATTTAGAATCTGGCACTGCAGGGGAGACTTTGCTAAATGTCCCACTCTGTCCAGGGGCAGCAGCAGGGAGAACCTGTCCTGAAAGGCTGCAGTGGTCAATGAGCCCAGCACCTGGTGAGCTCTTGGGAAGGACATTACTGTCACCAACCACAATCATAAAACACTAAGGAGACTTTTTTTTTTTTTTTTCTTTTTTGAGACAGAGTCTCACTATTGCCCAGGCTGAAGTGGAATGATAGGATCTTGGCTTGCTACAACCTTTGCCTCCCAGGTTTGAGCAATTCTCTTGCCTCAGCCTCCCAAGCAGCTGGGATTACAATCAGGTGCCACCATGCCTGGCTAATTTTTGTATTTTTATTAGAGACAAGATTTTACCGTGTTGGCCAGGATGGTCTTGACCTCCTGACCTTGTGATCCGCCCACCTCAGCTAAAGTGCTGGGATTACAGGCATGAGCCACTGTGCCAGGCCAAGACACTTCTGAGAACAAGCTACGTCCTCTGTGTCACTGCATGCTGGCTGGTCCAGGAACACAGGTGTGCACGTGTCCGGATGTGCATCTGCATAGTCAGGCGCACAGTGTGCATGTGCCCACTGCCCGGGTGTGTTTCCCTGAAGCATGTTTATCCTTCCAGTGTTCCTGTACCTCCGACCTTGGAAGGAGGCGGAGCAGCCTGTCCTGGACCCTGCCCCGCCCTTCCCCAACCCCACCTGCTGTGTGATGAACAATTCCATGCCAGCACAGTGTCCAGCCCACAGATAGGTCCCCCTCATGGAGTGGAAGGACTGTCTTGTATGTATGGCTTTCACAGAATCTTTTGTTAATTTTCATTTAGCCTTGTGTGAGGCAACATTTCATTTTGACTGGGCAGTGAGGGAGGTGATGAAAATTTTTTAAATAAATGTTTTTTAATGGAAGATGAAGATTTTTGGCAATTGAGTCAAGCATCTGTTTTATCACTCTTGTTGCCACAGACACATTCCATTCAAGTGAGGGTGTTGCAAGTAAAAAGATGCCTCACATTCTTCCAATGTTTATATAATTATCCATCCTTGTTTAATGGAGCACTGCTTAATTTATAATGAATATTTTATATTTATTGTTAGAAAATCTTATGGTGGTATGTATTGAAAAATCAGCAGTGCATTGATGAATAGAGCTCCTTTTAATTCACACTTTACCCTCTTTGTTTTACTATTATAGATCATTTTAAAACTTCACGATTTAATGTCTTACATGCCAAACAGAATAAATTTAAAAGGTGCCAGCACAATGAAAGGAAGATCATCTCATCACCCTTGACTTCAGCCATCTAGTTCCTAACCCTAAATCAGCGCCTGTTAACGTTTTAAACTTTAACTTGACAAGCATATGCATATTTTGCACCTCTGACCCCCCCCCCATGCACTTTCTAGAAATGCATCTGTGAGGATCCTATCCGTCTCTGTATCACACCTGGCTGTCGTCACTCGGTAATAGCCTGAGGACCTTGGGGGTCTCCACTGCAGAATGTTGAACCTCAGTGATTGGCTTGAGTATTCCATTATGTGGATATGGCCACAGTTACTTGCCCAGGCTGTGCTTTGTTATAGTGCAGCCACAGGGTGAGGTTCTGAGGGGCTGGACACTATGGGTGCGTGCATTTTGGAGTCATCATCTGTGGACCACTGGGGTCACCCTGCAGATCCTGTGAGGCCACATTCCTATTTTTCTGCGAGAGTCGTTGATAACAGAAATAAGTGTTTTGGAAATTAACTGGCACTGCTGCTCACTAATGGTATGAAGGCAGAATTAGTTACCGTTGACTGAGCACCTGTTGGGTGTCAGACCTATGCTAGTGTGTTCTTCGCATCAGCTCTTCACAGGTAGCGTTTGTCTGCAGCGTGTTGGGGTGGGGTTTGGCTGGCCAAAGAATGGGTGTTTGGGGGTACAATTATGCACAGTCACAGTTTGCACCCCTGATGTTTAGCCCCCAGTGTGCCCATTTCAGTGGGAGGAGACTAGAGGGGCCGTGGCTGGAAGTCTTTGAGGCGGCGCAGGGAGGAGTCCGCCTCCCAGGCATCATCTTCCTTGGGGCTCTTGAGCTTTCCTCCTGAGCTCCTGCAGATGGGCTCTGCCTGCCCGCTCTGCCAGCTGGACAGGCATTTCGTGCCCCAGAAGTCTCTGCTGTTCAACACCAATCTATTCAGGCTTTCACCTGCCCTCTAGAGATCACTCAGATCTCCTCCTGATCTACCCGACCATCCTTTCCCGAAGCAGGAGTGTTCCTCTGATGGGACATCTCACTCGGCATCTGGAGACCCTTGATGCTGCCATTGTAGGGCCTGTGGCATCTGGTTTGCTGCACAGTTTGCGCCCCCCACCCCATGATGTGACCCGGTGGGTTGTGCTCCCCAACGTGTGACCTGGTGGGATGTGCTCCCCAACGTGTGACCTGGTGGGTTTTGCTCCCCAGCGTGTGACCCAGTAGAACATGCTTCTCCAGCAGGTGACCCGGTGGAACGTACTTCTCCAGTGTGTGAGCCGGTGGGACGCGCTCCCCAGTGTGTGACCCGGTGGAATGTGCTCCTTCATCGTGTGACCTGGTGGGACATGCTCCCCAGCATGTGACACCTGGTAGGACGTGCTCCCCAGCATTGTGAACTGGTGGAATGTGCTCCTCCATCATGTGACCTGGTGGGACGTGTTCCCCAGCGTTGTGACCTGGTGGGACGTGCTCCCCAGTGTGTGACCTGGTGGGACATGCTCCCCAGCGTTGTGACCTGGTGGGACGTGCTCCTCCAGCATTGTGACCTGGTGGGACGTGCTCCCCAGCATTGTGACCTGGCGGGATGTGCTCCCCAGCGGCGGGATGTGCTCCCCAGCGTTGTGACCTGGCGGGATGTGCTCCCCAGCGGCGGGATGTGCTCCCCAGCGTGGTGACCTGGCGGGACGTACTCCTCCAGCGTTGTGACCTGGTGGGACGTGCTCCCCATCTTGTGACCTGGCGGGACGTGCTCCCCATCATGTGACCTGGCGGGACGTGCTCCTCCAGCGTGTGACCTGGAGGGACGTGCTCCTCCAGCGTGTGACCTGGCGGGACGTGCTCCCCAG